ACACATGTCCGACTGTCGGTACAAGGTATACCAAAGTTTCCGAAAGATCACCATCGTTTTTTGCCTCAACCGCACCACGCTAACCTGTTCCTAGTCTAGGCAAGCCATCATAGAAGCATTGAGATGCACGCCACTTGTGTCTTCCATTCTTTTCCAGCCCAGCACGCGAGACAGCGTTTCGGACGGGGTTCCAATTGGCATCTGTCGCTCCTTGCATGTGCATGTGGGTTTTCTTGATCGTGCGAACACCCCATGTGAGCCAATAGCTGGCCTCGGTATCGTCAAGCTTTATACCTCCACAACGATCAAAACGATCAAACCATTCCCGCGTTGCAGCCCGCTACGCACATGGAGACGGTCGGACCCTTGTTGCATCTGTGCAACATGGTTCTTTTGCGCGTATCGGGTGCTGGCACGCAGACGCATTCTACCCCTTCTGGAAGGGCGGTCTGTTCAAAGCCGTTGATCTTGGCCCATCGTGCAAGGGTTGAGAGTTTCGAAATATTGAATACGCGTTCATATCTGATCGGAGCGATTAGAGCCTAGTCGAACGGGCCAACAACGTCAGTCATTTCCATGAAAAGCATACATTCATACTTAAACTCTCGAGAGCGCTGCTTCTTCAGCCAGATATACACTCTTTATATTTCATTCGTTACTTGTTGAGCAACATGTTGGGTCTATCTCAGGCACTCTTGTTGGCGGTGTACGCTGGAGTAGCTTGCGCAAAGACTGTCACTTATGACTTCGAGGTTGGCTATGTGACTGTGAGTAATCTACTGTATCTGTTGACACCATATGACAACGCTAACTCACTGTAGGCTGCACCTGATGGCTTCGAGAGACAGGTTATTGGCATCAATGGAGAGTGGCCGATTCCTACCATAGAATGCGATGAAGGTGATACCGTTCAGGTGACGGTTCACAACAGCCTTCCGGATCAAACCACCGCTCTCCATTTCCACGGCATATGGCAAAAGGGAACGCAAAACTACGACGGTCCCAGTGGAGTTACTCAGTGCCCCATTCAACCTGGATCGTCATTCACCTACACCTTTATCGCGAACCCTGCTGGCACTCACTGGTACCATGCGCATGAAAAGGGCCAATATCCCGATGGTCTGCGCGGCAAGATGATTGTGCACGACAGAGCTTGGGAGGCGAGCTTGAACATCGATAAACAGGTGTACCTTTCCATGTCCGACTGGTAAGTGAATTCAGCCTTTTGTACGTGCGCGAGCTCACAGTAATCAGGTACCACCGCCCCATGCCCGAGATGATCGAGGCTTACATGAGCCCCGACAACACAAACGCCAACTTCGACTCGCCCGACTCTTTCCTCTTCAACGATGCCGCGAAGCCTTTTGACCTCAAGATCGCAAAGAACAAGAGGTACCTTCTTCGTATCGTCAACACCGCCGCTGTCGCATGTGCTCGCTTCCACATCGCAAACTACACGCTGAGCGTAGTTGAGATTGACGGTGTCCAAACGCAGCCCCAGGAAGCAGAGACCATCATCATCTGCGCCGGCCAAAGTTACGGTGTAATTGTGCAAGGAAAGAAAGACCCCAAGGGATCCTCCAACTGGATTGCGCAGATGATGACAGACATGTTGACCAACGGCGCCCCCTCAGCAGAGGAACGAACGGTTATCGGAGAAGTAGTCTACGACGACATCTTCGGCGAGATTGACGACATCATTGACAGCATCTCCGATGAAATCGACGGCATCTTCCTCGAGCCCGAGTGGACGCCGCCCCCACAAACCATCCTCAACGACTTCACCATGAAGCCGCTCGATGGCCAGAGACTCATGGGCCCCGTCGACAACCACATCGAGTTCACCACCAACCAGACCTACTTCGAGGGCGTCGGTACCCGTACTCCTCTCAACGCCCAGCCATGGGTCCCACCTCAAGTGCCTACTCTTTACACCGCTTTGACAACCGGCAGCATGGACCCCGCCACCTACGGCCCCGGCATCAACCCCTGGGTCATCAAGTCCGGCGAAATCGTCCAGATCGTCATGCACAACCCGCACATGTACCCCCACCCCATGCATCTCCACGGCCACGTCTTCCAAGTCGTCGCCACGGGTCTCGGAGTCTGGAGCGGCGATGAAAGCTCGCTGCCCCGCGTGCCCCTCAAGCGTGATGGTTTCGTCGTCCCGGCTTTCGGCTACGCAGTCATCCGCTTCAAGGCTGATAACCCCGGTGTGTGGTTCTTCCATTGCCACATCGATTTCCATCTCGTTGGCGGTATGGCTGCTACTATCATCGAGTCGCCAGATCTCCTCAAGGGCTCTGTTCCTGCTGCTGGTGTTGCGCTCTGCGATGTCGGTAGGAGGAAGTCTAGCGGTAACTGCGCTGGCGAGAAGGGCGAGATCTCCGCGGCAGATGCGAGCACCAAGTGCAATAACGTGTACAACACCCGCGTTCGTGGTGCGTTGATCGAGCAAAATTAGTCTTTTCGCACTTTGTATCTTTTCCTCTTCTTTGTAGAACATTGAATACTGTACATGTCTTCATCTATATTTAATTAGACTGTATCTTATCATACCACTATTTTTCTTCCTACTATACTTCAATGAGATTTTCCACAGCCACATCCGCTCTTTGCTCCGACCCTCTTCTTCCAACTCCATGTCATTGTCGGGTCGGCAACCATTTTCTGCATTACCGCGGTATCCTTGTCGTTCCAGCCTTTGTCTAGCATGCTCATCTCTACACTTAGCCTCGCATACCGCATTGCTTCCCACTTCATCCCGAAACTACTGTATGTCTCCGCGGCATGCTGGTACGCTGTTGCGAGAGTAGCATCAAGACGCTCTTGCTGGTACAAACTGATGAGAAGCTCTGCCGTTGCCGGAGTGGCGGCAGAAGATTCCGTCCAGTCACTGAGAACGTCTTGCTGTATAGTCGCAATCTGTTCGAGCCTCGAATCCGATTCCGACACTAAAGAAGCATGTGCAGTGCATGTGGAGCAAGAACACTTGAACCCCCAGTTCTTTTCCAACCCGCGCATACGTCGTGCGCGCGGTAGCTCGTTGTTGATATACGTGATCGTTATTTCCTCGCCGGGATAGATGGGTCGGATGGCATGGACGTAGTGCGTCAGCGTCTTTTCATCGAAAAAGTACGCAGCGTTTGGACGGCAGTCGTGGTTCAGCATAGCGATCTCAGGGAAGAGCGCAGATTGCGCAATGCCATCGATGGCGACTTCGAAGTTGTTGGTCGTGATGCGGTCGTCTATCGCATCGGCATCGGGCGTGTGGCCCATGAGCTCCCAGAACAAGGATTGCGTCGACTTCGGAAGCGTGTCGATACCGCGATGCAGCAGCGCAAGGCGCTCGGATTCGGGTAGGTCGTATAGATCGGGGTCTGTGATGAGAATTGGTGTGGAAGCGAAGATCTCGTCGCCTCGCTGGAGGGTCTTGTTGGCGACCAGTCCTCTTCCTTTTCCAGGGAATTCATGCTGGTAGAATGGTGGGTTCTCGTAATGGTTGATGCGCTCGAGGGTCTCTGGGCGCTTGAATGCGTCGTGTTGTAGCATGGCGTAGGCGAAGGTACGTGCGGTGACGATGAAGATGCCTCTCCCCGATGCGAAGTCTTGTTTGCTGAAGACGCAGTAGGGCTCTGCGACTTTTTCGTTGGTGAAACATTCTGGCCAGAATGTCCAGGGGAAGTTTTCTGTCTGAGAAGCTAACGCGCGGGCGTCTTCTAGGGAGTTTGTGTGAGGCGAGGGGTCGGAGGTGTTAGACTGGAATGCTACTGATGCTGGCGAGTTGCCGTATGCCAATGGTAGACATTTGCCGTTGTCGAGTAGGTGATTTGATGGGCATGCATCTTGTATGAGAGGTTGTTGCGCAACATAGCCGACTTTCTCGTTCGATAGTGCGAGCGCGCTTCCTAGCAAGCTCAGGCTAATAGCTGACTTCATGATGATAGGCTGTGGTTTGTAAGTGGATTCGGTATTCCGGGATATGGAGATATGAGAGCAAAAGAACAGTATGGGTTGCAGTTTCGTTTTTGTATAAGGATGTCTTAAACTTTTGGGTAGAAACTTGAAACGCAACCTGATTGTGAAGCCGGAGATGAAACGATTGCGCAAAACAAGCCGCACCCAGACGCGTCGGAACCACCTTTTGGAGTTGCGACATGGACCCTGTAACATACTGGGTATGAGGCTTCAGCCTTGGTTTAATCATAGCTACGCGTTGAGATTGAATATCAGTTTGGCTGCGTGTACTCCCTAGGTACCTGGGTAGTCATGGGTGTCGCGATGCTCGAACAACGTGACTGGAGTAGTCTTCGTGGGGCTCATGCTGCTCATGTTGGGAGCCATTAGAGTGCCCAAGATACGTTTCTGTGACATTGCTTGCTTGCGACAGATGTTGCAAGGATAGCGAATTACGAGTGCGCGGGGAACGGCGGGAGGGTGCACCTAAGTGAAGACGTGACGCGTTTCGTGAGTGAAACCCCGGCGCGATCTTGCCTCGGCAAAACCTGTGCGCTAACTTTTATTAGAGCTAGCGCGAACCCCGACATCTGAATCTTTGTCAGGAAGCAGCCACACAGGTCCATCGCTCTAAGTGCGAACCGCGTAATGTTGCGCCGTCAGATTGCTCAGCTCACATGCTTTGAATGGAACTCCTAGGCCGAGCGCGACGAAGTTCGAGGAGCTCCTCACTATAAGCATACCAGCAAAACTGTTTGGCGGCATGTGTATATGCATGAGCGTACGTACCTAGGTAGGTATTTGAAGCTGCAAGGCTCTCGGAATACAATCTTTTACTAGAGATATTCTATTGTAATAGACACGGTATCATTGCGTACATGAAAACTTCCGAGAAGCGATCTTAGAACTGGCCCGGACTTCTCTACCTACTTGACTACCTATGTACCTATACCATTTCCCTAAGGAAGTGCTCTTCGCAACGAATGCCTGACATCATAGTTGAATAAAGTGAGCTATACAACCCACACGGCTTCCATCCCAGCCTACGAAGCCCAGGGTCTTCGGTTTGGAAACTCCTCGATAATAGCCGCACGGATTTTCTTGGTCCACTCTTCCAGATTAGTCTCGTCGGGCTCAACTACGAAGTTCAAGCCCTGCTCTGCTCGAATTATGACTTTATACCCCGCACCTCTAAGGCTCGCCAACGGTTCAAGTAAGTATTCTACCCGCTCCGCGTAGTCTTCCAGGCCATTAATGTTTGTGCCGTTACCGGTGTTGGAGAAGACCATGAATGAACAGAGGTCTTGTAGAGCTATCGTAATGATCGTTTGCTTGTTGAGCTGGAACAGAGACTCGAATCGCTCCAAGATAGTGGCCTCCTTAGCAGTGTCCCGGTCATGTTCAACAGGTATCCAGATTTCGACGTGCTTGATCAAATCAATTGGCTTCTTCTCTAGACCAGCACTCCATTTGAACCGAGAGAGGGAGGAAGCGATGGTGCTGGGATCTGTGGTCCAGAAAGTTGTCGCTTCGTACCATGCCTGAGCTAGCTCAAGCCTCATCGCAGTGTTAGCAGCCGCAATCTTAGCAGCCGCAGTGTCGGTGGTCGCAGCGTCGGCAATGTAGCACTCGGAATTCATCAGATAGCTGTAAGAGATATAGCTCTTGGGTTTGATCGAGCATTCCCTGGGATGGTGGGCGGGATCGCCGTCTTCGTTTTGCTTCGCCTCTAGCTTGACATACGAGTCCTCAAAGAGGTGTCCATACACCATTTTGCGAAGTCGTTCGGGTAGATTGTGCGTTGACCGGAGCATCACACGACGAGTAATGGTTCTCATCGCGTTTTGAACAGTAGGGAGGTGCTTGCGAAGGGCTACCAGTTCTGACGACAATCTACGCAACGTTAACAGCTGTCTTGTTTATAATGTAATGTTGCTACGTACTGAGCGTGGTGTTTATATCGTTCAGCTTCCAATACTTTGAAAAGCCTGCCGTATGCATTCTCAATAACCTCTTCGTAGTCATACTTATTGTATGAACGCGAACTTGAGGAACCTGACCGTCTTTCCGCACATTAGCCGTCAAGATCTGAAAGACTGTTACAGTAACTTACTGATACGCCATTCTACCCATGGCAATATGATTGCTTTTATGTACTATTTGCTGGTTTCAGGCCCAGAACTTGTTAGCAGGGTAAAGGTCGATGCAGGGGTGACGTTGTAGAAAATGTGAAAAATGTGAGTTTAAGTAGTGAAATCCTGCATCCGGTATCGCTGGGAGAACCGCATTAGTGGTTTTATATCATTGTTCTCTTACTCGTTCTGCGTACCTTCGTCGGCAGTTTTAAGGGTAGTATAAAGCAGGGCGCGCCAATAACAGCCGCGGTAGAGCAATCATGGCTAGAGGATACCATGGGTCTGATGCGCGCAAACCACTGCGTACACACGCCCCCACCTGCACCGATTTCCTTTTACGTATTCTCATCACTCGACCCCGTCCGCCCATTTTGCCTACTGCTGTCGCTTCAGGAATGCGTCTTTGAGGTACACGGATATAGTAATGTAATGTAAATTGTTGAAAGTCGATATTACACCTAGAAGCCTACACTGCCCTTGGGTATGAGGGAATGGAGTAGATAGTAACTAACGTATCCTCTAGGCTACCTTCTACACCTTGTATGTACGATTAATTTCCCCTACGTGTTCTCAACACCTTACTTTTTCTTAATAGATTAACTAGATAACAACCAAGGTATCCTCCAGGCTACCTTATACATCTCGTATCTACAACCTGCTTCCGCCTACATTTTCTCAACACCCCAACGTCCTCTAAAAGATAAAGCGGATAGCAACCAAGGTAGTCTCTACGCTACCTCATCGCCTCGCGTCTATGGCCTATTTCCGCCTACGTGTTCTCAAGACCCTGCCGCCCCAACCCGCTTTCTCCTCAAAACTCCCACCTTCCCCTTGCCCACCTTTCTTTTCTCGTCTACTTCGCTCCTCATGTTGGACCCGCTCTTCTATCCTCAGCACCTTGATCCGCCATATCCGCTGCTCCATGCTCAACTTTAACTCTTCCAGTTCCCTCTTCTCCGTTGCCGTCGCAGTCTCCGGAGGTTGAGGCAGAGAGGCGAGTAGGTTCATGGCCTCGATCTCGGCTTCTTCCGTGGCATCTATCAGTTCGTCTGTTTCACTATCGGGTGCCGGGTTTTCCGCGTTGTCCACAGCCAGGTCTTCGTCATCGTGCGCGTCGGGTATGGTCGCACCCTCTTCTTCGTCTTCTGCAGCAGAAATACCGGGCGGTTGCGTCGGAGTCGGAACATCAAGAGTGATGTTATCGTTATCCAGCTGCCAGTGCGGTTCCCTAATACGCTGCTGCTCAAGTCTCGATAATCGCTTCTTCCTCTTCCTGCCTTTCTCTCTCACCTCGTTACCTTCGAGATCTGAGAGGAAACCAGTGTCATCCGGTACCCGGGGGTCGGGGTCCTGATGCACCAAAGTCGGGAGTTCGACTGCCAGAGGATCTGGCATTGCGTCTTCGTTCGCTTTCCGTCTCTTGCCTCTTGGTGGGGGCTTGGGCCGCGTGGGTTTCTTCACGGCGGATGCATCAGGGTTCAGGTTGACTTTGACAGGTCGCACGCCAGAGAGGTACTGGTATTTTCCACCCGCGAGGGGCTCGGACGAGCCTTCTTCCTCCTCTTCCTCGTCGTCGTCGTTGTTGACAGGTGTTTTCGGCACCTGTATACGGGTATTCCGGGTGGTACGGCCACCTTTCCTTTCCTTCGCGTCTGACTCCGGGCTGGCTAGCCCAGCTCCCATCTCATCGGCGTCTCTTTCATATTGTTTCAAGACGGCTTTCAGATCTACAGCTTTGGCCCGACTCGACCTGCCAGCCGCAGACTTGTTCTTCTGTTGACGCATCTTTACAACTTCCTTCAGTCTTCTCGTGAAGTCTGGGAGAGTAGCGCCAGGTAGTGATGAGATCTCGCTTAAAAGCATAATGATGTCGGCGCCCCATTGAGGGAAAAGGTCCTGGGGCCATAGTGGACGTGGAATACAGTCTTTGGCAAATTCGAGATGCCAGTTGGTCATGATGGTGGTGACATGTTGTTTCAAGGACTTTGGAAAGATGCAGGTGAGCTCTGATTGGATGGCTTTCGACAGATCAAAATCTTTGGAAGGTGCCATGTTCGCGTCTGGGAAGAAATGTCGTATATCGTATTGGTGTTATTGAATAGTCGAGTGCAAAACATATGAGCTATGAGATGGAGGAGATGGGCTTCGTAATTCTGGCGCGTGTGGAGGCAGCATCGTGGTTTGGGGTGAAGACATCGAATGAAGCGGCAAGTGCAGTCTTTCCAGGGTAAAAAAGGCGGTCAAAGCTCATTGCCGTCAGCCACGCCGACTCGAAGAAGCTAGCAGCAATCTGCAGCTATAGCAGACTTCGTTGAGCGGCTTCCCCACGCGTGCGTTCTAGCCTTCGAGGCATTCGCAATGTCCCAAACGTCGCATGATGCCGGGGAAGCTCAGAGGATTGTTTACTGAGGAGTGGGTCTGATGATGTCATCAAGTTATTTTAGGCGGGTTTTGAGTTTAGACTATTGCGGTAAGCTCGGATTCAATGGATTGGGTGCGCAATAGCTGATGGACATTGAGATGTGTCGTATCTTCTGAATTCCGCACACTCAAGCTTCCGTCTAGAGACGCCTCCAGATGTTGTACAAGTCGTGTCGCGTATATGATACAGGTATAGCACAAAGCTGAGGAGAGTGTGAACGCCGCCCGCTGCAGAAATCTGCGGTATATGCCAAACAACCCAAAAACACCGCTTGCCCAGACATGTCGCTGCCCGCCTGTGGCCTGATAACGGTTCGCTCTGAAGAGGTATAAATCGTGAATCGAAAACGTTTTACGCGGCCACAGCCATGCCGCCGCCGCCAGATGGTGCACCCACATCGGCTGGTGGTGGTGGGGGCGCATCGAGCCTTGTGTTGTCGGCCATCATGCGGTTGAAGCCAATTGAGACACCCTCGATGACAGCCAGCAAAATAGCACATGATATCGCGCCGTTTCGCATCGACCTGTATCCTCCTCGTACTGCGAGCGAGCCACCTGTGAAGAATCCTGCGATGATGGCGTTCCACGGGTCCTCCTTCTTCCGTATTCCCTTGACTGCGCAGTCGTATGTGTTGAAAAGTCCTCCCCAGACGCCGAAGTTGCCGCCGAGAACAGGCGCGCGGGCTTTGATCGCTGTGATGGCGCCGATGCGTCGCTCGCCGTAGGGTGAGTTACGGAACTATGGGTTGTAAGCGCAAGTTACAGATATTGGTAAAAAGAAACTTACACCCTTTACACCGTGCCATACTGCTCCTCCGACAGCCTAATGCGGTATTAGTATACGGGCCAGAGATGCAGCGCTGGTGGGGACATACACCCATGGCAAAGGCACCGCCAAAGTCATTGAGAATGACCCAGGGACAGGGATCGCGCGAATGATCCATTATGTATTATCAGAGGATGGGATGTGTTTTGGGCGATTCCGGGGGTGAGGCGAGGGCGTGGGCGAGCTCGTGGTCGGACGGTAGCCACCGGTGACGATGTGCTTCGATGGAATTTCTTGAGGACCCTTGCTGCTTTGGCGCTAGCGGCAAATCTTCGGGACTGGCGCGACCACTTCTGCTGTCAAACCTCCTGCCTTGCCTCGTCACTCACCATCAGAGCCATCTATGCGACGTCATTCTCTCGCCTGTTTGGATTCATATGCTACCTTCTCTGTCATTTGTCAGCCATAGCAGCTCCGTCGAACAATGCAGCTAGGCATCGCTCCTCCGCGCAGCACCCATCGCCTGCGACTGTGCACGTCCAATGAATCTATACTGCAACATCCAGACCAATTCGTCGCGAAGTCTACTACCACCTCATACAATAAAAAAAACTGAACAGGTCTAGAGCATACATCAACGCCAAGTTACCTATCTTGTAGGGTTTTAAGTTGATGTAGGCTGCAGGCCTGTTCAGTCCTTGTCTTGGTTGGCGTGCTACGTCTATTCTGTGATAGTAGCAGCTATTCGACATCTGTGTGACGGGTCTCCTCTGTCCGCCTCTTTCTCCCGCGATGAGTCCCCAGCTTGTTCATCAACTCTGACTGTTTTCGTTTCTATATCATCAGCATCAATTCTCTGTACTGTGTTTCCGAGGACGTGTGCATCGCTCCTGAGGTGAGAGTGTGACCTGGACATCACTCTCAGACCACGTACAAAAGAGATGATTTCTCGACGGACTCCTCAGACCTACATGCAGGTAACGTACAAGCATCTGTCGTCCATCCAACTCATGTCTTCTCCTCGCTGCAAGTTGAGCTCATGCATATCATGCAATCACCGCTCATCGCTCCAGAAGTGGTACCAGACTCGCGCTCACCTCGACATTCCTGCTCTCTCTTCCTGGAGCTTCTACGCCCGTCCAATGATTTCCGTTTGCGTACTGCTCCTGGACTCTGCTTTGGGAGCTGTGTCACCTCGGATTTCTGCCTAGAGTCAAGTCTTGGCGCTCGCGCTCTCGTTGTCGTCAACTTTGCTACCACACTCTCTTACCTACTTACCTGTACCACTACACCATTGACTTCCAGTATAACTTGTCAACATGGTGGGCGCTACTCGCCGCGGTGCGCTCAAAGAGAATGTCAAGCGACCAGTCTCACCTAGTGACGATGGTACAATTGCGGACGCACCGCTCGACACGCCTTCGCAACAGCCAGTACTTTACCCCGCGCGCGACGACGTATCGCGCCTGAGTGAGGGCCTTGAGCCGCTTCACCTGGTTGGGCAAGATGGTGAGCTACATACTCAAACCGACAGTTGAGTACTACATTGCTTACTATTTTTTAGATCCACAATACGTAGATGACGCGTATGCAGCAACGGAGATTGACCCGCTTGGACAACAAGTTAAGGAAGTGATTGCGACGATCAATCGACTGGAGGGCCTTGGCCTACAGAGGCTGAAGATACCTCTGCCGAAATGTATCGTCCTGGGTACGTCTTGCGTAACAGTATCTCGTTGCTCTGTACTAATATCGGCACCAGGCGAGCAATCTACTGGTAAATCTTCTGTTATCGAAGCTATCTCCGGCATCAAGACGCCGCGAATGGATGATACATGTACCAGATGTCCACTCTTCATTAAGCTCGAGCCTTCCGACAATACTCGCGCCAGCTGGAGTGCGAGCGTTAATCTACGACGGACTTTCAACTACGATATCAACAAGGTCCGAGGATCCGAGTACCGGTACCCTGGCTGGCTCGAGATGGATCGGCCAAACGTCGTGCATTTTGCGGATACAGAAAACCCGCATGAACTCGAGGAAATAATCGCACGCGCTCAACTGGCTATCATCAACCCTATGACGCCCTACACGGAGTTCCTCGGATCAACCGTTACTGCGCTTCGAAAGAAACCACACTGCGACTTCAGCCCCAACATCGTCTGCATCGAAATCTCTCACCCGGACGTTCCTTCTCTCAGCTTCTACGACTTGCCAGGCATCATCAACCAAGCTGAAACCGTGGACAAGGAATACTTGGTTGAGTCTGTTCGAAACATTGTGATGGACTACGTCAGCGACGAGGAATCTCTCATCCTTGTGACCTGCTCGTTGGACACAGACATCGCCAACTCAACGGCAGGAGGCATTGCGCGGAAGCTGGGCGCTACAGACCGATGCATTGGTAAGCGTAGTCACCTCCCACGATGGAAGTCGTACTAACAAGTTCAGGTGTCCTCACAAAGCCAGACCTTATTCCCGACGGATCCCGCCACGACAAACTCCTGGAGGTCTTTGACGAGAAGCGCTTTGCATTGGGACATGGATACTTCGTCGTCAAGAATCTGAACCAGGCAGAGATGAAGCGCGGTTTGACCCATACGCAAGCTCGATTCGAAGAGCACAAGTTTTTCAGTCAAGGAACGCCCTGGTCAACTGCGTTCAGCCACTATCAACACCGATTTGGTACACTGAACCTGCAAAGCTTCCTTTCCTGCAAGCTTGCTGAAGAAATGACGAAAAAGCTTCCCATCATTGACCAGGAGATCAAGTGCGTAGGAGGATCTGGGAACTGTCGAAGTTCGGCTACGACTTGTTCCAGCCTGGCAAACGCCCCTAGAATCATCTCGGATGTCGTACTCGACTTCTCGCACAACGTACGTAAGGAGCTTGAGGCCGAATTCCCTTGCAAGGCGTGGCGCAACAACTGGAAGACACTGCAGAAAGGGTTCTTCGATGCCCTCGCTAGCATGAAGCCCACGATGTCGACAAGCGGAAGTAGAGACGCAACAGTCTACATGGACGTCCTAGGAGTTCAGCCTGGCAGCTCCGCTAGTAAAGCTATCGCTGTAGACGACGATGATGATGACGATGAGGACTACGTGGACGACGGAGATCGCGATACACCAATGTCTAGCAACCCCGAGACGCCTACGAAGAAGAGAAAGCTCGGTGATACTCCAGGTCCTTCACCAGTGAAGACTCCTAGCCGTCGCGGACCACTAAAGACGACTGAGGGTAGGTCGGTTGTATTCAGCACGGACTTCAGCGAGCTCAGGAAGAAGTTCTTCCTTGATCAAGTCACGCAACATTTAGCGGAGAACTCCCAGAGCAAAGTGCCCGGACAGATCGAACCGCGCGTCGTCGATGACATGATGCTCGAAACGCTTGAACATTGGTCGCAACCGCTTCACGAGTTCTTCAACACGCTCGAAGGTCAAATCGTTGATCAGATCAAGACTGTGTTCCACAAGCACTTCTCCAAGTACCAGGGATCGACCTTTTATCGCACTGCCTGGGAGGTTGTTGAACAGATGGTCAGCTTGAACTTTACAGAGCAGCGCAATACCATGGCCAACGAGAGCCTCAATGATGAGAAAGAAGGTCCTTTCATCTTCCACGACGAGATGTTCGAGCTCGAGAAGGAAGCGGTACTGGAGCACTATCGTCAAGCTCGCTTCAAAGCTCGCTTCAACATCTACAAGCGCGATAGATTGAAGCGTACAGGGAAAGAGACTACCCCACAAGAAGAAGACAGGATGAGAAAGGACGCGAGGGTCATGGGGATTCTGAATCACGAGCCCTACGTTGTCGAGCTCGGAGTTGTCGCGCAGGTCACCACCTACTACATGCTAGCAGCGCGCCGCTTCCACGACGTCGTATGTATGAGGATCGAATCCAAGTTCTCCAAGCAGCTTCGCACTCAACTCCGCGACGAACTTGAGGGTGGGCTGGGCATGAACGACGGCAGCCAAGGTAAGCCTTGTTCTCTCTCATCGCGTGAGCATCATACTGACTTTCACAACGCAGCCTACGACAACGCCGTTCGCCTCCTCTCCGAATCCCCACACCGTTTCAATCTACGCAAGGAGCTCAGTGGTCAGCGTGACTCTTTGCTCAAAGGCCAAGAGATTCTGCGCGACCTCCAGAAAAAGAAGTACGGGACCGCCAAACCATCTTCCGCAGCCAACGGTGGCTCGCACACTCGTCGCTCCAGTGCTTCCGGTGGCATACCCACACCGGTGTCGGCAGATATGGAGGACGTGGATATGGCAGGCGTTTCGCGCCACTAGCCTGGTGGTTGTACATCTGTGGCTATGGTCTTGTTCTGGATACGATACGATGCGCGAAGCTTGCGACGTTGGTGGACAAGAAACACTGTTTGCAGGAAGGTTTCTCTTGTCTACGTACGTGCGGACTAGTGGTCACGCGAAGCAGTCGCATAACATGAGTATTGTCGCCTTGATTAAGTTCTAGCAGCGTTGACTGACGACTAGCTGTCAAGCGAATTCACATGTATGACGAACGACATGCACATCACGATATCTTGTCTATCAATTTGAAGTGACTGCTCTGAGCCGTGATATCTAGACCTTCTGTTAACTCTTACCCCACTACTCTAGACTTCCTCACTGTTCATCTCCTTGGCCCTCGTCTTCGCGCTCCTCCTGCCTTGGCTCCGCGTCTTCAGCGTCTTCGCCCTGACTCTCTTCACCGCCCATCGCTTCCTCAATCAATCGCAGCTCCTCTCGAACACGCGCGGTGTGAGCACGCGCATTTGCTCTACTGTTAACAGCTCTCTCATGTTGAGTCCGAGCGGACACAAGGTGAGCTAGAGCAAGTTCTTCCATGGCTTGAGCTTGGCGAAGCGTTGTTCGTACCTCAGCAAGTGCTCTTCGGTATGATGCTGCGCTGTCTGTATCGGAGGCATTTGCGACATGTTGGTCGTGTGCTTCGGCTGGGGTTGGCCGATCAGGCGATGCTGTTGAAGCAACGGATGACTGGCTGTTCCTCTGAGTTGTACTGCGAAGGCTTCGCACCTTGAGCTTTACCACTAGCGATGGTCTATCTTTACGTCCACCCTTTCCTCTGTTATCAGCTGCTACAGCAGCGTTCGTTTGTTTACCTGGGCTAGATGGTGGACCGTAGTGTGCACGAGGGAGTTTCGCCAACCGCCCCGAACGACGCTGTCCAGATTCTGACGGTACACCCAAATCGTCTGGCCGATTTCGGGCTACTGGGTTCTTCTTCTGAGCTTTTTGTTGTGCTGGCCGACGCTTGACTTTTGGCTTTGGAGATTCATTGGCTTTTGACCGGGTCGCTGGGACTTTGCCCTTGCCCTTGCCCTTCCTCTTTCTCTTATCCGCTTCCCTTGACTTTTCCTCTTCCGAATCGCTCGAATCGCTCACAGTTTCTCCCCTAACTCGTCTTTCTGCTTTCTCAGCTCGAACATTGACGTAGTAATGACCGACTAGTGCTATCCTGGCCACGACCCGCTCAACATCGTACTCTCTCAATCCATCTAAGCTTTCGCATAGCCTCTCCCTAATTCTCCTGCCGTGTCTTGCGGTATTGGTAATTTCGGATAAGTCACGAAGTCGCTCAATGACACCTGCGTCAAGGTCCGCGTCGTCCGTGACATCTTCTCTGTGTAGCCCGTCTGTGAAGCGTCCAACGAGCGTTTGGATACCCCAGTTCTCGTAGACCTGTTCTAGTGCAGAGTATCTGTCGCGTAACGTTTGTATCGTTAACCCCGCTGCTGGTATGCTCGACTCAGAAGAAGCATCGCTCTCGTCCTCTTCGTCGTCATCACTGATGAGCGCTCTGTCTTCGTCTTCTTCAGCTTTGCGCTTCAACTCAGCTTGTTCTTCCTCCGCTTCGTCACACAGGTCTTCAAGGTCCTCGAGTAGGTTCTGCTGCTTTATTACCGGGGTATCTCCTACACGCTTATCCTTGTCATGATTCCTGGTATACCACTTTTTTCTTATCTTCTCCTTGACATCGTCACTGGCGCCCACGGTTAGGCGCGATAGTTGTTGGAATCGCAGGAGTATTGCTGTGTCAAGGTTTTTAAGGTCGAAATTCTTCTTTTCCACGTCCATTTGGCCTTTGAGCCATGTCTTTGGAGGAAAAGCGTCCTCGATACTAGAGCACGCCCAGTTCTCTAGTATCTCGCGTTCTGCTCGTTGTCGTTGGCGCGCGACATAAGTTGTAGTTGAATCGTCGCTGGAGGACGACGAAGCTTCATTTTGAGCCTCTTCGTTGGGTTCGTCATCGTTCTCGTTCCAGTCAATAGCTTCTTCTTCACTTTCATTTTCCTGCTGTAGACCCAAAGCTATTTCTTCATCATGCACGGTATGAGGGTCATCATCACCGTCGCTCACCATCCCATCTTCCACTTCTCCGTAAACAGGCGGCATCTTAGCCTTCTTTTTCCCTTTCGGTGGCATGATACAGGCAATGATTGGTGCAAAGATTCCAAGACGATACCACTATCTTGGTAAGATGACGATTGAAGCAAGGAGTGAGCTACGCATTCTAAACTCGCTTTAGAACGATGCACCGCACATCTACATTATTGTAATGTTTGCATACAAGCAAGCACATTCTTTGACCTCTGAACAAGACATCGCTCTAATGTTTCTAACGCAATCTGAAATTTGGACAATGGTGCTTTGAATTGTGCCGCTGTGTTGCTAGCACCATTTTGATGACACGAGAAGACGCGAGTGTGGCAGGTGAAGCTATCGAACGTACACACGACGTTGCAAAGTCTTGGGTTACTTTGATCACCACTGACGATAGGATGAGGTCTCGGCTAAGTTGTACGAGCACAACAGAAAGAGAGTCCTATGAGAGTGCATTTGGATATCAACATTCGCTGGGCGCTAACTACATGTCATTCCACTACCTCCTCTTCTTCTTCCCATTCTCCTCGTCCTGTCCGCCTCCTTCTCCATCGTCCCCATCCTTCCCATGCCCCTCTCCTTCTGCACCCCCCTCCTCCTGTGCAACCATACCTCGAATACGCTCAACCTCGCGATGCCTATCTACGGCCGTCAGTACCGAATGCTCATATCTGTGCATGTCTGCCGCGGCCTGTTCGTCGGCGCGTGTGGCATCATGATCAGCTGCCCGCAGTAGTACTCTGAGATCGGACGGTGCTACCATGTTTCCAGCAAGCGATGGGCGCTGTCCTCCAAGCTGTGTCGGAGGATCGCGACGCCCGGGCATGGGTAGCATGTTGCGTGAGAATGACGATAGATTGTTAGCAAGGGGGTAGTTCCTGCGAGCTCCTCTATCTCCAGGGCGTACCATGGGTTGTCCACGCGGAGCATCGTCATCTCTCGATTGCCTTGCTAGCATTTCAGCGGCGCTAAGTCTAGTGGTGCCTGGTGTGGAGAGAGGAACACCTCGCCCCAGTTCCCTCATCGATGGCCCTCCCCCTGCATTTGCCATGGTTGCCCTGGTCATTGGTCGTCCTGGTGTTCGTTCTGTGACTTGCGCGGCGTTGCTCGCCGGTCCGGTCGCTGGTGCTTTTCCGTTCTTCTCTGCGGTTGCCGTTGCCTTTCCACCGCCGCCTGCTGGGCCATCGTGGGGTATAAAGTCAGAACCCGAGCTAGAGTCATCTTCGTCATCCTGCGATGGTCTCTGAGAGTCGTTCCGACTGGATCTCAACCTCTTAGCCGCCGGCGCCCCTCCATCATTATCCTCGCGTTTCTTCTTGCTTTTCTGTACATTTGCTTTCGTCCACCTCTCTCCACTAATTATCAACCTCAGATCATGACGTAGTCTTTTCTCTTTCTCATCCTTCTTCAGGCCTACTCGTCCGGAGTTATTTCTATCTTCCCAGCGCCAGCCAATCTGTTGCATCATCGCGGGGCCATCATTTGGACTCTGGTCTGACAGTTCCCGGAACTTGCGAAGTGTCTTGAACTCGCAGGTATGTTCCGTCAGTTTCTCGGTACTACCTTTGAGCCACGTTCTGTCTGGTTCTTTTGGTATGCAGTCTCTCAGGGTACGGTACTGTGCGCCCCAGTTCGCGGTGATGGCGGCCATCTCTTGCAGAGCTTCAGCTGGTGTAGGTGGCGGGTTAGCTGCAGGGGGTGGATTAGCTGCAGGCGATGGAGGGGCTGCACCACCTGCAGGACGACGAGGACGAAGACGAGGGCCACTCGGAGCCGCCGGTGCATCTGCAACCACCCCCGAAGGAGGAGGCTCATCCACATCCATCCGTTCATCTCCATCGTCGTCGGGTTCTACTGGTTGTTCTGGCACGTCTTCTCCTTCTCCTTCCTCTTCTGCAAACTCGATAAGGTTCTCCTCCAAATCGTCTGGCAGTCCTTCATCTAGCGCCTCCGCGAGCAATCTCTCCACCTCTTCATTCTCTGATTCCTCCTGATTGGGAGACACATCTGGTACTGCTGGTATGTCTTCGTTGGCGTCATCGCGAGGGGGTGTCTTCTTCTTGGGTGTCTTTGGCTTCTTTGGTGGCGTTTCCGACTTCTTCTTCGGTGGCATTGCGTGAGTGCTTCGTTCGAAATGTCGATGTGAAATGTCAGCTGTTCGATTGACTGTATCGTAAGGCCGGATGATAAGATAGGTAAACAACTCCAGTTCGACATTACCTTCTCATTAATACACCCACCAATACGTCTATCCCTTTCCAAGTTTGTTTCCGCACAAACATCTTTCTTTATCCCTCCTTTCCCGAAGCCGCTGGAACACCCAGGTCGCGAGAAGCTATGTTCAGTTAGAACAAGAGAGAAAGTCGCGTGACGGGGGGCTACAAGCTTCAAAAAATTACATTATCTGTAATCCCCCATTCCCATCTTCCGACCGTCAAGCGTAAAAGCCCATCTCATACCGTCCCATACATCTCTCTATCCCCACCCAGGAATCCCAGACGCCTACCAATTCCCTCCAAAATTAGATAGAGACCCTTATAAATGTACAAAGAACTCAGACTTCGAGACAAAAAAAAAGGGAAAAAAAGAAGACGTAGTTGCAAAAGAAGGCTGTATATCCCTACTTCGCCCCCTGTTCCGTCTTCCATACGCTTCACCACTACCACATATCGTCATCCCCCCTCTTCCCCCCCTCTTCATCGCTATAATTACTATACCCCCCTCCTCCCCCTCCTATCCCACCACCACCACCACCACCCCCTTTACCACTCTGCCCCAGATAATTCTGCGTATTCGCTACACTATATCCCCCACCTCCACCTCCACCTCCACCGCCGCCGCCATTCGCACTATGATTTGAGTGGTGCGAATCGCGCGGGTTCTGGTTGTAAGAATTACCCTGCTGAGATCCGCCTCTTGCATGTTGTTGTTGTTGCTGTTGTTGCTGTTGTTGCTGGTGATGTTGGCCGTTTTGTTGTTGTGAGAGGCCGCCGTTGGCTTGCTGTTGGTGTACGGAGGGCCATTCTTGTGAGGATTTTTCGGATGATGATTGCTGTTCGTGCTGTTGCTGCTGCTGCATTCTTCCATTAGCTTCTCTCCTAAACAACGCCTTTAATATGTCTTACCTGCTGGTACCGCTGATACTGAGCAAACTCCTCAGGCTGCGACTGTTGCTGTTGTTGCTGCGGTTGCTGCTGCTGCTGTACCTGCTGCTGATGTTGCTGCTGCTGCTCCTTCTTCTGCTGCGCAGCTTGTTGCTGTTGCTGAGCCTGTTGAGCTTGCTTTGCTTGCTTGGAGTTGCCGATGGAGATCTGCGGGTGCATTTGCTGGACCTTGGCGAGGTACGAGTACATGAAGTTGGACAGCAAGACTTGGGAGTAGAGCTCGCGGCGGGGATTTGCAAGCTTGATGTGGGCCATGCGGTATATCGCGCGTTCTTCCAGGATCGAGAATCGGGTCCAGTTGTAGTCGATGTCGGGCTTTAAGATGCGTGGCGGGGGCTCGGGCGATAATCCACGTGAGGCGTTCTTCTTGTGAGACGACTCTTTCTCGCCCTTCTTCTTTCCTCCTCCGAAGATGGAGGACAGTAGTCCAGGCTCCTTCTCTTTCTTGCCTTCGCTGGATGTTTTTCTGGCGCTCTCCTTCTTCCGCTCTTCTTCCAGCTTGACGCTTTCGCGATCCAGCACTACGCTCTCTCGACCACGACCACCGCCCTGTATCGATGTCTGCAGAAGGTCCAGTCTCGTGTCATCGTGGCCCTTGTCCTTCTCCTTCTCCTGGGACTTGCTGAGCTTGTTCTTGACCTTCTTCGGGGCTTCTTTTTCTGAGTCTTTGTCTTTTGACTTCTTGTCTTTTTCCTTCTCCTTATCACCGCCAAACCAGCCCCAGCTCGTCTTCCTTTGGCCGCCCTCAGAGCCATCCTTGTCTTTCTTATCTTTGGCCTTCGGTTCGAGCTTCTTCTCTTCTGGTGCGTTCGGGATTATGGATAACGAATCGACCCTGTTGTTCTGGCCGGGCATCGCCGAAGGATGCGCTACTAGATCATCAAAGGACTGAGCGGGTTTGATCGGGGACGACTGAGCAGCTTGTGCATGACGGTTCGGTCGACTCGACGACTGGGGCTGGCGCTGTTGTTGCGGAGCTTGTTGTTGAGGCTGAGGATAATGGCGAGGGCCTGCAGGTTGCTGCTGGGCTTGAGGCGGAGGTTGGCGGGAGGAGTGACGTTCGGGTAGCTGAAACTGAGGTGTTCGGTTCTGTTCTTGTGGCGGTGGTGTCTCGATGATCTGGGGTACCTGCTGCGGCGGAGGTGTATAGCCGGGCAAAGGTGCAGTCGTGCGGCCGTTGGAGGCGATTCTCGAGTGGAACTGCCTGGGCTGCGGCGAACTTCGCTCCTGTTGGGATATCGGCTCAGTAGAAGCTGACCTGGGGTATTCTTCAGATGAACCAGGTCTCTCGCCGCCATAGCTGGGAGATGCCCGCTTTGCCCCCGGCCGCGAGAAGTTGTTGGACGATCCTTCAAACGCCGAGTTAACGGGTTCCGACTGAACGCGGTTGAGACCTGGGAGAGGAGGGACTTCGGGTATGCTCTCGGTAGAGTGGACGGGCGAGGTGGACGGGGAATCTTCCGTGTCGGTGTCCCCTTGTCGACCAGAGACGAGTCGCCGTGAGAGGGGCGGGCCGCCTTTCCGCAGACTGCCTCGTCTGTACGTAGTGTGTGTTGATCTCTTGAGCGTGCCCAGACCACGCATCTTGCTACCCGGCACAATGGGCATCCCGTCAGCGCCCTCTTCCCCTTCCCCAGCCATGCCCTTTTGATCGATGCTCATCCGTCTTATCAGGGCCACCGGGTCCTCCTGTATGTGCTCGAGCTCCTGTAGGTTCGACAAGCCCCCGTTGGGCTGCGCGCCGGATCGCTTCCTCTCCAGCCTCTCGGCGCCGTCCTTGTAGCCAGAGCCAGTATCAATCTGCCTGGACAGCATGGACTTCTTCCGCCGCAGCCCTCCACCCGAGCCCTGACGCCCCATGGCGCCATCCGGAGATAGCGAGTCTGAGTCTCCGGAGCGTCGTCTCGTCCTGTCAATCTTGTCTTCAATGAACGTCTTGAACTCCATGGGCGCCAGCTCGGGGTGCAGCCGTGCGGGTACCCAGAAGAGTTTCGACTCGTCCTCTTCCGACATGGCCGGTGGGGAGGGCGGTGAGTTTGCGGACTGGAACGAAGGTAGATCGGGATCGGCATTGTTAACGCCCATGGACATCCTCCGTATGGCCTGCAGGTTGCTCAATTCCTGGGCGAGGCCCGCCGGGCTGTTCTCGTAGTCGAGATTGTTCAGCGGGAACTGGTGCGACGCCGTGTTCGAGTTCGAGCGGGACAGCGGAGGGGACATCTGGCCGCCATTCGACGGGTGCCGGGCGACCGAGGCCCGCTTCTGGGCCATGTTGGCGGTGCCATTGGGGCTCGTGGGCGTTTGGGGCTTCTCGAAGGACATCTGGGGACGCAGCGGGGACCTCGCGGGGGGCGCGTTGGGGAAGGGGTCGAAGGCCTCGAAGGCGCCAAAGGACTGGATCGAGTCGCCGTTGGGGCTGGGGACGAAGCTTAGGGGTCGGAGGCTGCGGCGGTTGGGGGCGTCGGTGTCGCTGTCGCCGCCGTACATGTCGCCTATGGCCTCGGTGACGTGGTGGCTGTCATCGCTGATGGATATCTGCGGCGCATGCCCCCGGCGCGGGCCTGGGTTTCGCATCTGATATAGGCGGTCCAGCTCTCTGGCTCTGTCGGTTGCCTGTGGGGTACGAGACTTGGTCAGCTTGGGGGCTCCTTGGAACGTCGGGTTGGCGCCGCGGGCCTTTGCCGGGAGAATAGGGAAACGAAACAATGGCGACCTCAACTGTCACCACAGTATTTGGTAGATGTTTGCCTGAGGCTACTAGGTAGACATGCGCTACTCACCATTTGCGAACCTCAGAGAGTGCGGAGGTGCGGGTTAGCACGATTGCCACGGCTTGCTTAGGGCGCCGAGGCGGTGCGGGCATCCAAGGGCCCAAGGTTTGCGAGGCGGACGAGTCGGGCGTGTTGGTGCTGCGGCGAAGGAGTATCAAGCACCATGGTCTCAGGGAGAAATAGTAGAGGTACACATTCGCGCCGTGATGCACATGTCCAGCCAGCACCGCAACTAACTGCAATGTCACTAGCCCGGAGCGCGCCCAAGATGCACGACTCGGCGCCCTCCAGCTGCTCCGCCACACAGGGGGGCATCACCACAAGCCGAGTGTACGTCTGCCAGCAGCCGCCCTCAACCCGCCAGACACCCAATCCATGTCCGCCTTACCCAGCCTGGCGACTTGGATACCGCATCCAGGGTCCTGCTCAAAAACAACTAGACCGTTTCAACGTCTACACCCAAAAGGAACCCCGACTGGAGTCTTCACGGTTTCGGCAGCACGCGGGTGTTCACGTTGTCACCGAATGTGATGCGTGCGAGCGACAAGAATAGCCGTCTCGTCTCAGACTACTCGCAGATCCCCGGACTAAGTCACGGAAGTGCACCATGAAGCACGTCGCTAGCCCACACCATTGTCAAGCGAGCTGTCACCCTCCCTCGCTCCAGCCCAACATCGTGATCCCATGCTAACTCACCGATATCATCTATCCACATATTGGCGCTACTCCCCGTCAGGCCGAAGCGCCAGGGGTAAATGTCCCTGCGTCTAGCTATTCGCTCGTGCCGCTGAGACTTGTCTGTTGTACAACGTAGCCGCACGCCAAGGTGATGTCATGCTTAAGCGCTGACCCTCCGCGCTGCCATTATCGTGACTGCTGCATTGCCATCATCTCCGACGCTTGGATTCTTCCTATTGCGAGTAGTTTGTCTATAGGGGTGGGAGTGGTGTGCTGCCATGGTATATACAAGAAGCAAAGATTCACATTCATGCCTGGCCCCTGGTCTCAGGTCTCAGGTCTCAGGTCTCAGGTCTCAGGTCTCAGGTCGATGCGCTGCTGCGTCTCCAGACAAACATCGCCGAGGCCACTGCACACGTGACAGCCCCCAGCGCTAGGTAAAGATTGAGATAATCGTAGCCGTCCTCTTCCTGCTTGGGGAAGGCTGTCGAGGGGTGGGTAGCGCTTTCAGCCAGCTATACGACGTTAGCTCGTGGAATTAATCAAAGGGCGTAGTACGTACGTGAACAAACAGCTCCGATATGCTGTTCCATGTCGTGCTGACGTGCAGTGGCG